GATAGATGGATGGATGGATGGATGATAGAAGGATAGATGGATGGATGGATGGATGATAGAAGGATAGATGGATGGATGGATGGATGATAGAAGGATAGATGGATGGATGGATGGATGATAGAAGGATAGATGGATGGATGGATGGATGATAGAAGGATAGATGGATGGATGGATGGATGATAGAAGGATAGATGGATGGATGGATGGATGATAGAAGGATAGATGGATGGATGATAGAACGATATGGATGGATGGATGGATGATGGATAGGTGGATAGATACTGATCAATGCCTCCTACTGGCAAACCACTAAACATTTCGAAAGAGTTCTAATGTAATTGATGTAATTTACTGAAATCACATGACTTTGCTGGTTTGATACGCGCTCTGAATCACTGGTTCAAAACAAATGACTCACAAAGCTTCACAAAGCAAGCACCCATCATTAGTGCTAAACCCCTCAAATATCATAAAAACAGACCGGCCTAACCACCTCGGACCGGTTTAAGCCACCCTAAAGAGCGAATTGTGCTGCACTGTGCGTCTGCAGTCGTTATTACCGTCCAGGTCGTTCTCCGGCGTCTCGGCAGTGTGCCACTCGCTGCTGGGCCCCGTGCCATTGACCGTCATGGCTGCCACCTGGAAGCTGTACTGGCTGCCTTTCTCCAGTCCTGTCAGACAATAAACAAAGAGCCAGAGTCACAGTGTGCGCGTGTGTGTGTGCGATTATTATTTGCGATTCTAATTAGTAAACAGCAATCAGTCAAGGCGGCAAGGTAAACAAGGTCTCCAAACCTCATCTAAACAGATCAGGATGCATTTCCATCATGTGTAAAGATAAAAAAACGCAATTATGATAGCAGGGTGCTGTCATCCCTGAATACCCCGGAGTTTGGGAAATTAGCATAACACACTCCAGCGGCACTGTGAAATGAATCCCTTCAGAAATAGCAACTTAGCGAGATATGCATCAAGGGAATAATGGAAATGAATATGATTTTCCAATAAATTCCGAAACCCTATTCAAACAAACACACATCTACGCTCCCAAAGTCCCGGAGGACGACAAATCCGGCGTGATGCGTCAACTTCTTTAGCATGCATAGAATCCGGCGTTAAAGAAACAAAGCGTGCAGCGGAGGAGTGCATCGCATGAAAAACATGGGAATCTGTTCTTCTATTCAGATCAGGGCCTTAACCACCATAGACATTAATTAATAATTAGAAAGGGCCAAAAGCAGCACTCTTTTTAGGATGACAGTCTGCCTCTACAGTCTTAAGGCCCGTTCACACCAAGCTATAAAGATAACGATAAAGATATAGTTCTAAAAATAATTCTTAATATTAAAGAATAGCAGAGTCCACACCACAGCTATAACGATAAAGACAAAGAGAAACGATATTGTTGGAATCACTTTCAGAACGATTTTTTTCCAGCTGATGAACGATACAAACATTGAAAGCCAATCAGAATCCATCCTGCTATAACGAGTTCGAGAATTTAAAGCGGCAGACGAGCTTGCGCTTATAATTAACAGACGATATCATCTGCTGGTGTGGACCATAGACTGTATAAAAACATGGACGTAGTGTCCGTGACGTCACCCGTAGTTTTCTGAAGAGCGTTTTTGAAGCTCAAAGTGGGCGGAGCCGGCCGTCGCCATCTTGGCAGTGCGTCACTCCCAGATAATCGAAAATGGGCAAAAAGGCGGGAGCAGGTTGCTGAAGCCACGCCCACCTAGCTCGATGGCAGTGCCAGCAGCGGCAATCCACCTGTCACTCAAGTGGCCACGCCCTTAATTATGCAGAACTTTAAGTCTTAATATAATTTAAACGGATGAATTATAAAAAAATTCACCCAAAATTAAATAACTGCATATGTGCATCTCTCTCTACACACAATGAAGCTGTAAGTTTAGTTACTTCAGTATCAAACAGCGTTAATTTAATTGCCGAATAATTTTCATCAACATTTTTTCACCGACGAATACGAGATGGCAATGTTCAAGACATGGTTACGGACTTGATTCAGATGCATGTGATGGAAAACATCCAGCATCATGCTGCGCAGACGGACTCACCGGTGAACAGGCACCAGAGGTTGTTGGGTTCGATGGCCTCCTGTTCCCCCCGCCGGCCCGTTTTGCGATGGCGGATCTTGTATCCGGTGATGAATCCGTTCTGCGTGTTTGCAGGTGGAGGCTGCCAGCTCACCTTAATGCTCTGAGACACAGACGAGAAACAAAAACTGAGATCATCCAAACATCAGCACGACATCCATTTATCGGCTAGAGCGTGTGAATATCGGTTAAATGCAAAATTACAAATAAACACGTGACCAAACAGAGTTTTTAAAGTTTCAGTTTTAAAATGTTTTTGAAGTCTCTTCTGCTCACCAAGGCTGCATTTATTTGATCAAAAATACAGTAAAAACAGTGAAATCTTATTCTAATATAAAACAGCTGTTTTCTATGTGAATCTCTGTTAAACTGTAATTTATTTCTGTGATGCGCAGCTGTATTTTCAGCATCATTACTCCAGTCTTCAGTGTCACATGATCTTCAGAAATCATTCTAATATGCTGATTTGCTGCTCAAGAAACATTTCTGATTATTAGCAATGTTGAAAACAGTTGTGCTGCACAATATTTTTGTGGAAACTGACACATTTTATTTTTCAGGATTCACAGATGAACAGAAAGTTCAAAAGAACAGCATTTATTTGAAATAGAAATCTTTTGAAACATTATGTCTTTCCTTTCACTTTTAACCAATATAATGCATCCTTGATTAATAAAATAATTAATTTCTTTCCAAAGGAAAAAAAAAAGCATGTTAATTGCTGCTGCTAATTTTTATTACCGTTCAGACGGATGCTTATTAATTATGCAGGGAAAGGCATTTAATTGTTCAGTAAAGCAGAGGAAGAAATGCATTGATTTGACAGGGTCTTTAGTATGAGCATAACTTACTGATGAGAAACATCAGCGGGTCAACCTTTACTAGAACTAGTACTGCTGTCTCTCTCTCTCTCCCCAAAGCATCCAAACTCCCAAACACAGATTCATTAACCTTCACAAACGGCCCTGAAACAGATATAAACTGCACGGCGCAGGAATGCCATCATACGCTCAGTGGCATCGTGAGTCTGCGCTCGTGCCATCTGCCCGTTAACATGCAAATAAAGCAATTAAAATTCACAGCACACCGCTGCCAACGTGACACGTCCATCCCGCTTCAGCCTCATAACAGTGACCGGCCAATCCTGCGGCCAGCGGCACACACTGCATTCATTAACATTCACTGGCACTCGTTCCTGGGTTTGGAGACTAATCTAAATTGATTACAGCTCGTGTGTGTGTGTGTGTGTGTGTGTCTGTGATTATGGCAGTGGTTCAGGATTGTCATTTTGGCCCCGTCATGGTGTTAATTATCATGGTGTTACAGCGAGAATCAACTCAGAACAATGTGTTGCTTCATGGATCTGTGTGTGTGTGTGTGTGATTATGGCAGTGGTTCAGGATTGTCATTTAAAAATAAAAAGGTCTTTTAATAATAAATATCATGAAGTCAGCTCTTTTTATTGTCTTGTTCTTTTAGACTGTCATCCACTTTCTCTCGTCTGTTGTGAAGCACATAATTAATCTGCAGGGTAAACCGCTCAACTTTGTATTCCACATCACTCTGATTCATCAGACGAAACGAGCCTCTCGACTGAATCCTAATGGAAAGAAAAGCAAGTTAACGACTCATAAAATCGATAAATATTTAAGATGCTGGTGTGGACTCAGATAAAGTGTGCCGTCGCTCTCTGACCTGCCCTCTCTCTCACTGGCTGTATTAGTTTATAGAGTCCATCCGTCTGATTCACCCATTAATAACCACTAGCAGCGCAACAAATGATGCACAAATAGACAGTTTAATTTTCCTGTGAAAAATGAAAATGTTTCCGTCTGAAAACGACCCTGCTGAACATGATGCATCGCTGCGCCTCTGCCAGCAAGAAAAGAGCAAGTTTTGTGAAATATAGTTGTGAATTCGGACCGAACGTCTCAGTCTCACATTGCCATTGCATTCATATTTAATTCTTAAGAATATCAGAAAGAATCATTAGTGTCAGGGTCTCACATCCCACGCAATACTCATGATTTTCAAAAGATGGATTCCCAATGCTCACTGTCTGAGCACACTGTTGATGATTTAACAGCCGTGAGCTGAGCTGATGTGTGATAGAGATGGGCTGCTGCTCAATCTAACGTCACAATCATCATTCTGCAGAGCGTCGGATGGACAGAGTGCATTCTGGGCTCTTTGTTGGTCCTTGGACGGGCAGAAGCGCAGCGGCACACAATGAAAACCAATTTCCTGACATAAACAATCCGTTATCGGGCCGCTCAGACAAAGCAGCTCATTACAGTGTGATGTATGTGTGTGACACAGTGTGTGTGTGTGTGTGTGACACACACACACGCACGCACGCACGCACACACACACACACGCATGCACGCTCACACACACACACACACACACACACACACACACACACACACACACACACACACACACACACACACACA